ATCATTTACTCTTGATAGAGTTTTCCTACAATAACAGCTACCAAGTAAGTATTGACATGGCTCTGTACGAGGCATTATATGGCCACCAATGTAGATCACCGATCTGTTTTGAAGAGGTGGGTGATAGAAAATTGTTCAGCCCAGATCTTGTGGAGGAGACTACAGCCAAAATAGTTAAGATTAGGAAGGACATCCAGACGGCTCAGAGCAGGCAAAAGAGCTATGCGGATACCCGGAGGAGGGATTTAGAATTTGAGAAAGGTGATCAAGTATTCCTTAAGGTCACCCATTTCAAATAAATTAGTAGGTTTGACAAGAGTGAGAAACTAAATCCCTGGTTTATTGGGCCATTTGAAATCTTAGATAGAATTAGTACTGCCGCCTATAGACTGACACTACCTCCTGAACTATTTAGAGTCCATAATGTGTTTCATATGTCCATACTACGCAAGTACAACTCGGATCCCTCTCACATCTTGGCCCACGAGTCTCTCTCACTCTGAGAGGATTTGTCATATGAGGAGGCACCAGTCGGTATTATGGACTGAAAGAGTAGAGTACTCTGCAACTGAAAAATTTCTTTTGTTAAGGTCTTATGGTAGAATCACACACACAGAGAGCCCACATGAGAGCTAGAATCAGACTTTAGAGCCCAGTATCCCCAACTGTTTGATTGGGTGATAGGGTGTAGCGACCTTGGAAATCCAAAAAGAAATATAAAATAATTTAAGTGCGGAAGTAAAATAAAATGTCAAAGTTTATATCCCTTACACAATGACTTAAAAGTACTGAACAATATTATGAAATAAATTCTCTGAAAGAAATACGAGAAATAGGAAAAAAATAGAAAATAGAAAGTATCTAGCATCTACTCGCAATCTTTTTACAGATCGGACTCTATAACCAGGTCCTCTTGATTCGAAATGGTTAAATAAAGGATAAACTACACTAGCCTAGTAAGGATATCACACTATATCACTGACACATAAGTAAAAGTTGGTATAAAATCAGAACAACTAATGGAGCACTAAATTTAGCAAATTCGTTTATCAATCATAAAACCATTTATCGTTCACTTACCGTTTACTTACTGTGGTGGAATTTATGAAAACAACCTATAAAGAAAATAATACCATACAGATGATAACTTCATGAATACCCAGCAATATAGAACATATCATAAATTCGTATCCATTAACAATAAATTAAATCATAACCATTTCTCATTTCACCAACCTATTAGTATCCATGGGGTTCATAGGGATATTCCCTTTACACGTGAACCATTTTTCTTTAACAATCTCAATTATAGGGTCATCCCCATACCCTGTCCGGTATGAGCGCCAATACATTAAACATAAATACTTCATTCGGTATAAGGGTGAAACAGGTCATCCCCATACCCCGTCCGGTATGAGTGCCAAATTATTAAGTCTCCATACCCCATCCAGTATGAGACATTGTTCACGGTAGGGTTCCTTATGTACCTAGTTCGTCCACCATCTCCTATGATATCTAGTAAGGCTGTCATTCCATTTGTTTATTTGATCACACCCCTTTCTGTTTTTCTTTAGTCTCCATTACCAAATCAAACATAATCACATAAACAAATACACATGCATCCGGTAATACAATCATGTCTCAAATCCCAAATTAAACAGTGGTCAAGTAAGGCAGTAATGCATGCATTTAAATCATAAAATAGATAAATCAGATACTATCATACTTTTATACTGTAAAATAAATCAATAGAGAATAATGTCCAGTTCAGGCTCCACTAGCAATCCGTAATTAGTTATGCACATCTATTTAATTTATACAAAATACTATGTTATTATTTATTTAAACTTTAATTCTATGATAAGGAATAGGGTGAGGGGTCTTTACTCGATTTGACGTCGAAAAGCTAAACACTTTATTGTGCCTACGGGCGGTCTCTAGGTTCCTTGAATTTTTTTTCAGGAACTGAAACGCGCTTATAGTACCTACAAATGTTCCAAATAAACCCAAAATCAGTTCCAGGGCCCGCTCGGCCAATTTTAAAAATCTGGTATGGCGGTGGTCCAGCTCGGGTCGGCCGTTTTCGACTTATTTTGCATTAATTTCTGTGAGCACACACGCTAAAGGGCCTCGGTGGACCGAAAAATACATAAAATAAAAAATTATCGGTGATGGGACTCTCCGATGTAGTGGCTCCTCCGGCTCACGTTGCAGTTGGGTCTTTCGCCTCAGTCAACCTGTAGAGAAGAAACCGGTGATCATAATGGTGGAAAAATTATGCGAAACGAGAATCAGGAAAAGCCTCATCAGAGGATTGTTTAATTCCCCGCGGCGGCGCTGCCAGACTTCGTCGATATTTTTCAGCCAATTGATAAGTTCTTTCACTCCGATTTGGCCGTGGGTGGGTTTAAAATTAAATTTCATACAAAATGAGAAATTTTTATATCTTTTGGCAGTCGGAAAGGGTTCCAGTGTGGCGGCGGGTGGTGGGTGTGGCGGTGGGTGGCGGCAGTCAGCTCCCCGGCGGCTAGGTTGTCTTCTCCGACGAGGGATTCTGGTGGCTAGGGTTAGGATTTGGGTATGAATGAGGTTATTTATACCTATCCGCTTTTGATCTAGGCTGTCCATCGCGTTTGATCTGGACCGTCCGTGCGCGGGGGAACGAACTTCAGTCGTTCGATCGTGCGCACGCAGATCGTCCACGTTGCTCCCCATTGTGTGGCCTCCCGCATCAGCACATCGGCCACTTGGTGCGTCCTAGTTGGTCGGGGCTGCTGATCGAGCGTCTGACGTGGTAAATTTTTTTAAATTGTATTTTGACATCCGATTTCGGGTTTTTCTTTCAAAAATACCTCCCGAACTCAATTTTTCACCCATTTTTTTAAAAATTATTTTTAATTTAATTCTTAATAAGTTTTACTCCATTTTTCATTAAATTAAAATAAAATATAATATAATAAATTAAATTAAATAAATAAATAATTGTATTTATTAATAAAAAAAAGTTTTGGTGGGTGTTACAGAGAGAGACAAATTTGAGGGATCAAATTTCTTTTAAGGGAGGGAGAGTTGTAATATACGAATTCGAAAATTGATTCGAGATTAATTTTAAAATTTAAAAATGTATAAAATTCTAATTTTAAAATTAATAAATTTTTATTTAATGTGAAATTATGAAAAAAAAATAGGTTAGAGTATGAAATTGAAAATAATTTTAAAAAAAATAAGTAAAAATTTAAATTCTATGATATTTTTGAAAGAAAAATAAAAAATTAAGGATTAAAATATAATTAAAAAAAAATTTGCCACGTAGGACTGCAAAATTATTGTGTATAATTTTTATACTTGTTGTATAATTTTTTTTTTCTAAAATTAATATAATTTTAATTAGGTTATAATTTAACATGTAACATTTATTTTTTATATTTAAATATTCATTATTTTTATATAATATTATTGATTTAAAGATTTTTATTTTGTATTTTGTATTTCTAACTTTTTAAATATTAACCTTTAAAATATAAATTCCAAGAAAATCAAATTACATAATAAAACAATAATTTGATTTTTTTTTTTTTTTTTTTTTTGTTGGTCGAGTTTGTCATTTCAAAAACTGCGGCCAACCATCCAGTCTAGTAAATCTGTGTCAGTAACTCTCTGAATTCGTCCTATTAAATTATTGGCATATTTTGGGCTAATATATAATTAAATTCAATTAATTCTATTTTATTTTATAAATCATTATTTGTGATGTTAAATATGTGTTGACTCGCCAAATAAAAACACTTAATTGTCCAGATAATAAGTTATTCAACTTATGTTTTACTCAAAAATTATTTTAGGCTTAATATTTAATTATTATATATTTTGTAAATAATAAATATTCAACATTCTTTTATGAAGTACAAATAATTAAATCAAAACAATTGAAACAATCTCACTATTTTTAACCAATAAGTGATGATAGTAAATTAAACAGTTGGCGGTGTTAGTAAAAGAACAGTAATGGCAACGAGAGCCGACAGCCGCCGGTTCGAACCGGGAGAATTAAAAAGCCGGAAGATCAAAGGGCGAGGCCCACTCAGTCAGATGGGAGACCAGAAAAAAGCCAAGCCATCGAGTGGGGCCCACATGCCTCATAAACACCGTTCTTTTTCATAAGCACGAGAGGCGCCGGGCCAATGGGGGCGATGAATTTTTGGAACGCGTCAATCTCCCTTAAGAAATCCAACGACTTTCCCCTCTCGCTGCCACCTGTCCCTTCCCTCACGCAGTCCTCACCAAATAAATAATTCTTTTTTTTTTTTTTTTTTAATTTCTTCTCCTCATTATTTATATAAAATTATTAAATACATAATAATATATTAAAATTTTATGAATAGAAGTAGAAAACAATTATTTTTTCGATTTGATATTAAATAATCATATGTTAAATACAGAGAATTCTTAACATTTATGTCATTTTTTAAAATAATAATATAATTTTTTTTAATAATAGAAACCAATCAATTTAATATAAAAATATAAATAATAGTGATAATTATATAATTAAATAATAGTCAAATCTCAACTACATCATAAACAACTTCAGTTGAATAAACATAAAAAGAAATAGAATTTCAGTTTAATGTATATGGTAAAAGAATTAAGTAATGAATTGAAAAGAAAAAAAATGGTTAGTGAATAAATATTTCATCATCAAATATGTATTAAAATTGAAATAATTTTTTTTTATATTTTATTAGATATTAAGTAGTATATCATAATTATTTGGAGGCCACAATAATTTATTAATTTGAGTTAAAAATAAAAGGTTAAAAAAAATATTTAGATTAAGTCTGCCCGCGATCTAAGAATCTAGCCCCAAATCTGCTTAAAATATATATATATTTTTTTTTGTAAAATAAATCTAAAAAGTCAAAAAGTAGAAAAAAAATTTTAACACAAAAACCCCAACACTAAATCACTACTGTTTGGTCCTCTTCTAAGTCTGAGACTCCCCTTTTTAATGCCGAGTCCATTGCACCGTTCCAAGACTTTCACAAACCTCTCACCATCTCTCTCTCTCTCTGATTTAATGGCCAAAGGAAGTGGACTCTCCTTTGATTCAGATCCATCTCGCTTCTTTCTACTCAAACCTACTGTCCTCAATTCCTTTCCAGAAGATAATCACGACTGGAAACTCATCAACTCTCACATGGACATGGACGCCACCCCCACCACCACTTCTTCCTCTCCTCCTCCCACCACCATCCAATTCCCAGTCAACCTCACTTGTTCACATCCTCGTCTGCCCGATCACCACACCGTCATCGGCGAGATGGATTTCTTTGCCGATAAGGACACTACTCTCGCTCGCGATTCCAACCACTCCCCCACCGATACCAACCACTCCATTTCTCATAACACCGACTTAGATTTCAATGTAAACGTAAGAACAACCACCCCTGCAATTTTCTTTTTATTTTTCCCCTTCCGTTTCTTGTTTCTGGGTTTTCTTAATTTAGTTTACTGAAATAAAAAATGATTCTTGGTTTTTGTAGACTGGTCTGAATCTGCTCACCACTAATACTAGCAGTGACCAATCCACGGTTGAAGATGGGACGTCGACGAACATGGAGGACAAAAGAGCTAAAAATGAGGTAAGATGGTGACATTTGAATTTTACCCATTTAATGCAACAGTATTGATTTCTGTGATTGTTAGTGTAATTTTTCATGGGAATTGATCGGACATTATTTGGTATATGTTCTTTTTTGGTTTCGTAGCTGGCTGTTCTTCAAGCAGAACTGGAAAGGATGAACGCGGAGAATCAGCGTCTGAGAGACATGCTTAATCAGGTTACAACGAATTACAGTTCTCTGCAGGGGCATTTGGTAACACTGATGCAGCAGCAGCAGCAGCAGCAGCAACAGCAAGAAGACCAGAAAGTCGAGCACAACGACGAACATGATCAGACCATTGATGGGAAAGGAGAAGAGAAGAGACAAAACGCAGCTGGATTGATAGTGCCGCGACAGTTTATGGATCTTGGTCTCGCCGCCGCAACCGACACCGACGAGCTTTCACTGTCTTCCTCTGACGGCTCGGGTTCGCCGGTCAATCACTCGGAAGTTGGGTCCAAGGAGCTGGTGATAAGGAAGAGTACCGGGAATGGTGAAGAAGGTAATATCGTGCTTGATCAAGACAAGAAGGAATTTGGGAGGGGAATTGGCAGAGAAGATAGTCCAGATCAAGGTCGACAAAGTTGGGGAGGAGCAAACAAGGTCCCCAGGTTCAATTCTTCAAAAAGCGTTGATCAAACGGAGGCCACCATGAGAAAAGCTCGAGTCTCTGTTAGAGCCAGATCAGAGGCACCCATGGTGGGTTATTTCCTGATTCAACTGCGAATTATATGTAATTATCTGATCGATAAAAATGTCAAAGTTGATTTAATTTTCTTCTTGCGAAAACTTTCAGATCAGTGATGGATGCCAATGGAGGAAATACGGCCAGAAAATGGCCAAAGGAAACCCTTGTCCTCGAGCTTATTATCGATGCACCATGGCTGCTGGTTGCCCAGTTCGAAAACAAGTATGTTCTCTTCCAATTATCTGATTTAGTTATTTCTTGATATTTAGTTGGTAATCAAGTTTTTGAAACTGAACGACAGGTCCAGCGATGTGCAGAGGATCGAACCATACTCATAACGACATACGAAGGCAATCACAACCACCCATTGCCGCCAGCCGCCATGGCCATGGCATCCACAACGTCGTCCGCCGCAAGAATGCTACTGTCAGGCGCAATGTCAAGCGCGGACGGCATAATGAATTCCAACTTCCTGGCGAGAACCCTTCTTCCTTGTTCCTCAAGCATGGCCACCATATCAGCTTCAGCTCCTTTTCCTACTGTTACATTGGACTTAACACAAACACCCTCCACAAACCCTTTACAGTTCCAGAGGCCGCCCACCCAATTTCCTGTTCCATTCCCAAACCCATCTCAGAATTTATCCAATTCACCAGCCGCAGCATTGCTCCCCCAAATTTTTAGCCAGGCACTTTACAACCAATCCAAATTTTCTGGCCTACAAATGTCTCAAGACATTGATCATAATTCCCAATTGGATCATCACAAAAGTCAATCCACAGCAGCTCAACAAGGGATCCAGCAGCAGCCGAACTCGCTGGCTGACACCGTGACTGCCGCCACTGCAGCCATTACGGCTGACCCCAACTTCACTGCAGCTCTAGCTGCAGCTATTACTTCTATCATTGGCGGAAGTGCCGCACAGCCAAGCAGCATATCCGGTAATAATACCAGCCTCGCTGCCAGCTCCCATAGCAATGGCAATATCAATAGCTAACAACAGCAACAGCTATGGCAACAACAAAATCAACAGTCAAATTTTTCCTGCAAATTAAAGCGAACATACTTGTCCTTTTTTGCCTAATTATTTTCCTTTGGGAATCTTTTATTTATTCTTTTGGGGTTGGAAGGAACAAAAAAGAAAACTATACTATCCCTTTGTTTTTTTTTTTTCGGGCTTCAATTTAATTTTTGGAGGGTTCTAATCTTAGGAACAACGGGAATACACTGGTGATATTCTTTTCTTGTTTGAATAATTTCGTTTCCGTTTTGTATGTCAATACTAAGTGAAGAAAGAACTGAAACCAGCAGAAAAAATGCATGTTATTGATTAGGTTAGATTAGATTTTTGGTATTGTATGGATCTGGAAATGAAAAGATGTTTCTTTATTATCCATTTTTGTTCGTGAATGATGTTTGTTTGTTTCCCGGGAAAGAAGCCAAACCCAGAAAGAAAGGAACAAAGTAGGCAATTCCAGAGATAAGGAGAAGATTGAATTCAATTGTTTAGTGGAGTTACGTGAAACAAAAGGCTATTCAAGAATAGTCAAGAAAACCGTCTCCAAGTAGCTTAAAGAAGGATGAATGCGACTTACAATTGGTTTGATTTGGAGGGTGGGTAAAAAAAACTTTTCTTTATTAAATAAAAATACAAATTATCAAGGTGACTATTTTATGACTACAATTATCACACGATACTATTTTAATTACCAAAAAAAAATTTTAATTTTATTTTAATTTTTTGTTTTAAATTTTTAATTAAAATAATAAAACTATATTTTTTTTTTTTGTCTTTTTTTTTTTAATTTTAATTTTTAGTTATGTAAATTCATTATGATGGGTATCTTCATATGATACAAGCCGTCAAGGCAATCTGTCAAATGGTTGATTAGACCGGGAGACTTTCTTGTGACCCTGTCTATTTTTCATTACCTTATCTTCTTTTGCATTTTAAATTAAATCGATTGATTTTATGGTCATTTTAGAAGGTTCATTTAATGCCAGTAGTGGACGACTGCAAATGACTCGAACAAGTTGCATGCTTCAACAATATCAGCTTTAAAAATTTTTCCTAATTTAGAGTTGACCAACATTCAAAATCTTCCCAACCACTGAGGCAATCACAAGTGTAATTTCTTTTGAATTTCAAATCCAATATTAGAACTAAATTATTTGAATAAAAAATTCTTTTTTTTTTTTGTATCAATTTTCGACCTGTAATTAAAAATTATTAGAAATATCTTTCTTAAAATAATTTTAGTTTATACTCAGACTTGTCGTCCAATTCAATGATCGATCAAAAATAAATTTAAAAAAATTAAATTATACAAAGTTATCTCAATCAAATACTTACATTGATCTTTTTTTATATGCAATGGTTTGAACTCCTGAATTCATTCATTGTATACGTGGGATAATGACAAACAAGATTTATGAATGGGTCGGGCCAGCGGGTTGTTACAGAAAGTCCAATATCGTATTTGATGACGATCCACTTATTATACATTTTGAGTATTGACTAAAACCAGGTTCACTAAAAAGGCCCGTGTCCAATGAGGAAATTCAAAAGGATAATTATCCTAATATTGTCTTAATTTACTCGCAATTTTTTAAATTACAAATTACAAGTTTTCATAATATATAATTTAGTCTAATACAACTTGTTACTTTAAAAAAAAAAACAAAAACAAAAATTGATTTCTTCATCAAAAAATTGAAAATTGAATTTTAAAAATTAAATAATATAATTAATGTATTTTTTTAAAGTTGTGCAGAAAGTTCACTAAATATATTAAAATCGAAATTTTTATTTGTATTAAAAAGTTCATTCGCGGATTATAATACCTAACAATATATTACTAGGGTCAAGAAAATTTTTATTATTCTCATTATCAATTTACTAATTATTATGAATTTTAGTGTATTATAATCAGTCGCATGATTAATTAATTTAATTTCCTAAACTTTTAACTCTAAAAAACAAAACAAAAAAAATAATAATTTAATTTCCTTATCCGGCAGAATGGTAGCTGAGGTTGGGTTGGTAGCCCAATAATATATAGTTTTCTACACCACAAAAATCCACCAATCGAAAAGAAAATTCCATCCCTGGTGGGGTCCACAGTTGCCCTAGAAATCCCGACCGTGACATGCCAAGGTTCCAAATCAACGGTTATCGAATTCTTATTCCTTTCTCTCTCTTACGTTTTCTTGCTAAATTCCTCGGCTGCGTCAACTCTACTATCTCCCCTTCTCTCTGCTCTCTAGGAAGCATACTCAGGTGTGGATTCTTTTTTTCCTCTTTTCTTCTTCTTTTTGTTTTTAAACAATCGTTGATTCCAATTTTTTGTTCATTCTCGAGGATTGCATCGGATAACATGCGTGTAAAGTTAATTTCATAGTTCATTTTTGTCTGAATTTTAGGTGTTCTACTTCAACTTATAGTGTTCCTGCTTCTAGATTAGGGTTGTAAGGAAATCTGTTTGGTTGTTGAGAAAATTTTGGGGAGAAAAGAAAATGGAAATTCATTTATTAGACTTAACAACGTATCTTTTTACTGCGATGAGATGCCTGTTACTATTTTATTCTGTGATTTTTACATATGAAATGGACGGGAAAGAAACAAATTTCAATCTTTGCTTTAGGACCGTTCTCTTAGCTATTGAAAATGGAGCATCATGATTATTTTCAAGTTAGAATATCTCGAATCTCATAATTGCCTACTAATAAGAAAACCTTCATTATTGACTTTTGCAGCTACGAACATGGCTGTCACATTTAAAGTTATCCGGGTAGCTCTTCTTGTCTTCTTCCTTTTGCTCCCTGCAGTCTTTTCTGCAGCCAGCGATAGGTTGGTGAGGATTGGACTGAAGAAGAAGAAATTGGACTTAAGTAACCGATTAAGTGAACAAATAGAGTATAAGGAAAGGCAAGCTTTAGGAGCTCCACTAAGAAAGTATCATGTCCGTGGTAATCTTGGGGAGGATACTGATATTATTGCATTAAAGAACTTCATGGATGCTCAGTATTATGGTGAGATTGGCATTGGCACACCTTCTCAGAAGTTCACTGTGATCTTTGACACAGGAAGCTCTAATCTGTGGGTGCCATCTTCACATTGTTATTTCTCAGTAAGTCTCTTTATTTTTTTCACTGTCGTCTATGGAAGTCTTACAGTAAATATTGTTTTCTTTTTTTTATCCATCTGATTTCATTGTTCATCTTGGGGCAGGTTGCTTGCTTTTTCCACTCCAAGTATAAGTCTAAGCAATCAAGCACCTACAGAAAAAATGGTAGTGTGTATTTCCTTATTCAAGAAGTTTACTTTCTGTTAATTAGAGTAGTGCATACCCTGCCCCTCTTCGTGTCTCTCTATGGTAGAAGTAAAGATGTGCTCATATGACAGAGGTTTGCAGTTCAGATGGTCTTTTCTTAAGCTCTATTACAATGAACAATGCAGCAGATAAATATAAGGAACTTTTTACTTACATTTCTGTAATTGATGTTCTTATTGACCATGGTGTTATTACTTCTTTGATGTGATAAAGGGACAACTGTTGTGCGTATACTAATGTATCCAAAAACAATTTGACCTTGTACAAATTAGTTGTCTTCTCCTTCATTCAACAGTTTATCCTTCTATGTGTTGCCTTTTGTCTCCTTCATAAATCACCATCACAAAGCACGTAGATACCAAAATACATGCATATAATATAAAATATATCTAGCACTAGTAGGCATAACGCTTCTTAGATGCCTATATTAATTAGTATAAAATATATATCTAGCACTAATAGGCATGACACTTCTTAGATGTGTATATTCATTATAGCAATAGTTTGAAAAAATATATCTAGTACTTGTAAGCATAAGCAATCCATTAGGTTCGTATATTCATAACAATATCAAGTGGGAGGGTGGGGGCATGTTTGGTATATGAAAAAGTTTATTAACAAATAAGGACACCTGAAATATTTTTATGAGCACTCGGTGTTTAAGGAGATGGAGGGGGTTGAGTTTCCTGCTAGACAGATCTAGAAGGTAAAGGCTTCATCAAGGGTGATTTTTTTTACTTGGGAGGCAGCATGGGAATGTATTTTCACTTTAGATAAGATGATTAAAAGAGGCGGAATCCTTGTTAATGGATGTTATTCATGTAAGAGTGGTGAAAAGACTTATAATCATATCCTTTTGTGGTGCCCACTTGCGCACAGGCTATTGACTTTGGCTTATGGATTCTTGGGGTTGTCGTTGGTTATAGCGGTCAGTCAAGAGTGAACTCTATGCTTGGGGTGGATTACAAGGGGATACGAGGATAAAACTTATTCCCTTGGCCATCTTTTAGGTCATATGGAAAGAAAGGAACATAAGACTTTTTGAGGTGATTGAATGTAATTTTGACAGATTTAAAGACATTCAGTTTCAAACCCTTGGTTATCTGATCGGGGATCATACACTTTGTTCTGATGATGATTTTGGGAACTTTGTAGATATTGACTGATTTATAAATTCTTTTGTACATGGGTTGTATCCCTTTGGTGCTCTTGAATATATAATTTTTTTATACTAAACAAAGTAACGGTTTTAAGTCTTCTCTATTCCTTTCTAGTGCTGTCTATTATGTAAAATATGCATGAGTTATTTGTAAATCAGTTCATAAGGCTCCATAAATTGCGATGGTAACTGTTGTTTTATATTGATGCAGGAACATCTGCTGAGATACATTATGGAACTGGGGCAATCTCGGGTTTCTACAGTCAGGACAACGTCGAGGTCGGGGATCTCGTTGTTAAGCATCAGGTAAATTTCACAGACACATGTTTTTGAGTCTTCAATACTATCAATGTTGTTTCGTGTCCACTAAATGCTGCTTGTCATCAGGATTTCATTGAGGCAACCAAAGAGCCTGGCATCACATTCCTAGCCGCTAAGTTTGATGGCATTCTTGGACTTGGATTTCAAGAGATTTCAGTTGGAAAGGCTATTCCTCTCTGGTAAGATGCCATACCACAGATTTAACATGTTGTGATCAGCTTGATTAATGTTCACGTTTACCTTCTCATATGCAATTACTTTAGTGCTTTATATTACTCCAAATTTTGTGAATAAATCATTGTCTTCTCAGCCTTCAATTATGAGTCCTTACAGCATGATTAGTCCTCCTGGCTATGTTTCAAAGTGATGTTCTCTAAATATGAATAGGTATAACATGGTTGATCAAGGTCTTGTAAATGAGCCCATCTTCTCATTTTGGTTAAACCGTGATGCTGATGGGGAAGAAGGGGGAGAACTTGTGTTTGGTGGAGTTGATTCTGATCATTTCAAGGGCAAGCACACTTATGTTCCGGTGACTCAGAAAGGCTATTGGCAGGTCGGAAACCTACATTTTTTTACCAATTTTTTCTGCGGTTCTTGACTGGAGATCCTTTGTTTCTTTTTTCTTTATTTGATCAATTCCTATTTTTGACAGTTTGATATGGGTGATGTCCTAATTGATGGCCAAACAACTGGTAATTACACAAGTTTTTCTTACATGACTATTATATGGGGACTAAATTTGATTTAGCTATTTTAGTTTACTAAAAAGGTAGATTACTAGATTGGACCAGGATGCTTATAAACAGCCTATATTATTAGCCTCAAGCACCCTCTTAGAATTTATGCTTGTTTAATTAGAGACGGGCTCTGTCTTTCAGGATATTGTTCAGCTGGTTGTGCAGCAATTGCTGATTCTGGAACTTCTTTGTTTGTGGGCCCAACGGTATGTGTCTTTGCAGCTACATTCTGTTTTTCCTCTTCAAGAATCTCAGTTGATATGAGAAGGAACATAATGGTTGGTTTGTGTATAGGTTACCCTTTCGTTTGCCTTGTTTTGGTAAAGATAACACAAGTTATAAATTCTTTTGAATGCCTACCTGAATTCATTTTGTTTATATAGTTTTGTCTAACATAAGTTAGGCAGCATTTGTTTTTCTTCTGCTTGTCTATAAAATAAAGCAACCATGAAAGCTCTGACATCATATACAGCCTTCCTTTCTGATAATGGATTTTATCGGGTTATATTTATCAATTTGAGGTTCAGAATCAATTTCTTTGCAAAGCTATGTTTCCAGGGACCTCTTTTTTTGAGACAAATTTCTGGGGACCTTTTAACGATATCTGATCATACTTTATCATTTTAATGTCCATAATTAGTTTTCTTTATAAATCAATGCTTTTGTGGTAGATAAAAGATCTTTGCCAAAGATAATGAGTTGAATTTTAATGTCAGTATTGTCCAGTTCTACATCTATGTGTTGGGGGAAAATGCTCTATGATTTGAGAATTGAGTAATAATATGTACTTTTACTCTAAATAATAGTCATGTAGCCCAATTTCAAGAAGTCTTGTTGGTGAGGAAGTGTTCATTTTAAATTCCTCAAAAAACAAAGTGCTAGATTTTTTAAGCCATTCCTTGTAGCCCATCCTTTCTTTTAATTTTTTTTAAAATTAACTTTGAACACAATCTTTCTACTATTTATCAAAGCCTTTGCTTATCTTGGTTTTTTAAATTTAGCACTATTTTCCCAAGAATATTATTATATTGATTAAATTTCTTATCATGCAAGCTAGACTTGTTAGCCAAAGGATTAAAACATATGTTGCCTAATAAGTAAAATAGAAGTTAAATTCTGCTTTCTCCACTTCTGCAGTTTTTTCTTATATAATCTCTCTCTAGTTTGTAGGGCTTGTCTACTTTTAACATTGGTTGCTCGGAAATTTCTTCACTTTTGAAATGTTTGTTTCTATCAAATTTTTTAAAAGATCCTATTGAAATATTGCAAAGTGAGACCAAGGTCATAACATGTTTCAGACCATTATTGCTCAAATCAACCATGCTATTGGAGCTTCTGGTGTCGTTAGCCAAGAATGCAAGACAATTGTTTCACAGTATGGACAGACCATACTGGAAATGCTGATAGCTGAAGTAAGCTGCTATATACTGTAAACTCTATTCTTTTTTCTTCTTTTTTTATTTTTCTCGAAATATTTTTAAGCTCTCTTACTGCTTTCTAGAGTTTTTCATGCCATGCAAAAATCATCCTATTTATCAAGTTTTCTTTTGCTTCATTTTATCTGGAAACTACCTACAAGCAATTAATTTCTGCATTTGCTGTTGGTATTTTATAGACTCAACCACAGAAGATATGCTCTCAAATTGGTTTCTGTACTTTTGATGGAACTCGTGGTATCAGGTAAGAACTGACCATCTTTCTTATCTTGTGCGAGTTATGCTACTAGTTGTTTCTGTTGGCAACTTGGGATCATAGACTAAAACCGGGCATATTGCAGCATGGGGATTGAAAGCATAGTTGACCAGAGTGTAGACAAGTCATCTGGGGGTATGCATGATGCAATGTGCACTGCTTGTGAGATGGCAGTTGTATGGATGCAAAATCAACTGACAAGAAATCAAACACAAGAGCAAATCCTGGATTATGTCAATCAGGTAATTTTTAACCTGTTAACTCATGTTTTCAAGGAAAAATCAAAACTTAGTGCCCTCATAGTCTTAACTGTAACTGCAGCTGTGTGATCGACTGCCTAGTCCAAATGGAGAATCAGCAGTGGACTGCAGCAGTCTATCCTCCATGCCCAATATTTCATTTAGCATAGGGGGTAAGCTATTCGACCTAGCACCAAAAGAGGTATGTGGTTATTCTATCACAATTAACATATAATATCCAGTACCTTTTTGTTTTTTTTTTGAAATAATGTTGAATACCATATTTTATTATTAGTATTATATAATTAGAATTTTATGAGAATAATAATATCATTTTATTAGAATTATAGTAAAATAAGAATTTTTTTATTAGTAAATTAAGAATTCTATAAATATTTTAAATGTAACAATCTAAAAGGAAAAAAATAAAATTATATTTTTTTTCCAAATTTACATGGTATCAGAGTTAAATAAAATTATTTTAGAATTCTTTTCAAATCCTAAAATAGCACGATATGCTTGTTTGGTACCATTTTATCAAGATCTACTCTCATCACCACCCAAAATGAATTTGAACCTACCGATGTGTTCTGTGGTGTTTACTGTAATTTTCAGTAGCAGTTGAGACGTCGGTAAAAAAATGCAATCACATTGTGTAGGTGCTAGACACTCTTAAGGCGCTGGTAAAAAGCTGCAGCTACATATTCGTAGGCGCCAGTAAAAAAATGCAACAACACATCTATAAGTGCTGGTAAAAAGGTGCAACAACACTTTTGAAACGCTAGTAAAAAAATGCAACCGCACATCTGCAGTCACTGGTAAAAGTTACAGGCATACATCAACAGATGCCGGTAAAAAAAGTCGCACCATTTAGTTTTTCTACGCACGTTTTGAGATCTGTCTAGAAAAGATGAGCCAAGTCGACTTCAAGCTGTTTTTTGAGTTCACTTCGAGTTGTTTTAAAGTCGAGTTTGAGTCGTTTTAGAGTCAAACCCGAGTTATTTAAGAGCAGAATCTAAGATATTTTAAAGGTGAGTCGAGCTATTTTTAGCCGGGTCGAACCATTTTGAGCCGGACCAATCCATTTTGAGTCGAGCCGAGCCGAGCCGTTTTGAACTAAATCGAGCACGCGTACACATCTGATAGATTGCATGATGACTCTTTTGTAAATTAGTTTGCAAGTTGAGTATGTGCGATATCCTTGTACCAACTTGAGGGGGGTGTTAAATACTATATTTTATTATTCGTATTATGTAATTAGCATTTTATGATAATAATAATCTCACATTATTAGAATTATAGTAGAATAAAAAATTTTCTTACTAATAAGTTATGAATTCTATAAATACCGTAAGTGTAACAATTTTAAAGGAGAAAAATAAATTTATATTTTTTCTCCAAAATCTATAGATAAAAAATATGAAATATATATTAATAAGGTACCAAAGGGGGTACCAACCCGTGTACAAAAGATTTATAAAGTAGTTAGCATATCAATGGTATTTCCAAAATCTTCCTCATTATTAATGTCATAACCTAACAAATAAAACCCAAAATAATGAATTCACCTATCTTTTAGTTTATACCATCCAATTTCCTTTCCCTCAAACGCTCTAACATTTCTTTCTTTCCAAAGAAGCCAAAAAATGGTCAATGGAATCAAGTTGGTAACTTTTCCTTTAACTGTAAACCCTTCCTAAGCCCAAATTGCTCCTCTTACAGTCCCAGCCATAGTTCAATCAATCTCCAAGAGTCCATACATCATACACCACAAGATATAAGCAAAAGGACACCAAAGGAATAGATGATTGCAAGACTCCTCTGCACTCTTACAAAGATAGCATCTGTTTATAATAACTTGCCCCCTGACTCTTATTTTATCAATGGTAAGGATGGTTTCCCTGCAAGTTTCCCAAGCAAAAAAGGCGACTCTCGGAGGCATTTTAGTTTTCCAAACCTGCTTAACCGGGAATCCAGAATACCACGAGCATCCCCACCAATCAAGAATCTGTAATAAGGGCTTGCGGAAAACTGTTCCTTTTTCTCCATTTTCCATATACATTGATCTGATTCATCCCGCACACTCTGAGTCTCAAGGATCTGAAGCAAATCTTCGTAGTCCTTTATTTCCCAATCATTTAGGTGTCTAGACACATCAACTGACCATTGAACACGATCATTAAAATCCATGTCAGCCTCTGCCACCACCAGCAATTTGGACTGTGCCAGCTCAAAAATCCTTGGGAACTTATTATTTAAACTATCCTCACCGATCCATTTGTCAAGCCAAAATCTGATTTTGTTTCCTCTTCCCAGTCTCCAATTGATGCAGCTCATGAAACAAGGCCACTGTTTAATATTCTTCCACAGCCCACGGCCATGAGGTCTAGAGCAAGCCCCACCGCTGGCAAAATCCTGGTCACCCCATCTAATATTCACAATGTTCCTCCACAAAATGTTTTCCTCATCCAGATATTTCCATAGACATTTTCCATAAAGAGCAGCATTCATCTTAACAAGAGATCTTATACCCCAATCCCCCCCTATAAGCCGGTTTCTTGATGTCCTCCCATTTAACCAAGTGATACTTCCTATTACCCTCTTCATCTCCCCAAAGAAATCTGCATTGAGTTGCTTCAAGCTTCTTAGCAATTTCTTTTGGGATTGTGAGTGTAGAAAGGTAGTAGATGGGAAGGTTAACCAATGTACTCTTCATTAAGGTGAGCCTACCACCCTTTGACAAGAAATTTCCTCATGCAGAAAGGTGCCTTTTTGGTTAATTAGCTGAAAGATAAAAACTTGCTCGTTAAGATAGCTAACAGATTACTCCCGAAAGAGAGATTTCTCTCAAAATAATTGCTAATAGGCAATTTTTGGATTGTGGATAAGAATTGCCTATTTAGACCCTCTGTTAGGACTTGGTTTTAACATGTACTTTACCGCAGCCCAATTGGGTCAAATATTAAATTTGAATAACTATGGGGCAATTCAGAAAATATTAAGATTTTTTGGGAGGAATCTGGAATTAAGAAAAGTTTAGTGGAAAAAAGGAAGAAATCAGAAAGTAGAGGGAGAGAAAAGAGGGGATTGGGGAGAGAGAAGAGAATTTGAGAGAGAGAGAGAGAGAGGAGATTTGGGTTTGGGATGACTTATAAAAAGAAATATTGCTAACATTATCCCTTTAACTGTTTTCTATGTCATTTGGAAAGAAAGAAATAGTAGAAATTTTGATAGTATTGAAAGTAGTTTAAATAAAATTAAAGGTAGGTGGATACATTCTTTTGGGTCAATTTTATTAAGTCATGACATTAATAGTGAGGTGGATTTTGGGAATGTTATTGATACTCTAATATTATTGTAAATGATTTTGTACATGGGCGATACCTCTGTTTTCATGGTATCCTGTTAATAGATATTTAGCACTTTTTATTTAAAAAATATATATATATTTAGTGTCCAATAATATTATTTTTATTATTATAATTATATGAGCGTCTTGTGGATCTTTTACATTATTCGACTGTTAGTCATCTAGATATTAATCCTTTTCGCCTTTTCCTTCAGCATATGTTTCCATTGCCATTGCTTTTGTTTTTTGCACTGATGTCTTAGAAAGTATTTTTTCCCATATCTGTAGCAACAATTGTTCCTTCTCAATTCAGTAAGATTTTGACAACTCAATGGTACTGCTTCTTGAAAATTTTGAATTTTAGAGGAATTTTCAGTGATTAAAATGCCCTATTTAGAAGAAGTTGTAGAATGTTTCGGCTTATTGTGGCGGTTGATGGTATTTACTACTTGTTCTTGCCAAAGAGCCAACTCAGATGTTTGAATCAAGGTGTGTGGCCTGTGCATTCTTACTGTTGGTTGAAGTTCATTCTTTAAACTACTTGTAAAATTGGAGATGAAATATTTTTCAGAAAATTTAGGATTCTCTATTAATAGTAGGGACCTCATTTTTTCAAAATCTTCTTGATACTGGAGGACGGTATCTTTCTAGAACAATTTGTTTTCTTCTACAATATCAATTCCGGCTAATTCTCCAAACTTTTTACACAGTTCTACCTCGAATACTTCTCATTCAAACATATTTGCGTCGTTTACCATGAAACCAGATCCTTGCCTTGTCTCCAAGATACATTGAGACTATTTTCATTTAACTGTCTTATAGGATGTTGAAAATATGAAAATACTTGCTACATCTTTTTATCCATGTTTTAGGATTTTACCCATCAAAAATAGGAATTTCAATTTTTGGGCCATGGTTACCAACTTGATTATCCTACTAATCCGAACTACCAACCCCAATTTTCTTGGTTCTCAGATTCGTTAATTTTCCTCTATTAGAGACTTACCCGATCGGCTGTTTAACTGATCCACATGCTGCTTCACAAGATTTCGGTGAGTCTTTCCAATTGTTGGTCAAACATAGTTAGTCCTTAGTCCACTATGGCTCGGGTATGTTGTTGTGATTCATACATTTCGGATCTAAATTCTGAAAAAAATTTATCAATCTCGCATATATTTCCCTACAAAGATTGTATCTTCTACGGTTCGGACGCCGTCTCTTTATCTTTATTTTTCACCATGGTTATGAAGCTTGCAAGAGTTTTATCAGAATTGAACTGCTCTGATACCAAATTGGTAGGATCTGATCTTGACATGTACTTTACCGGAGTCCAATCGGGTCAAATATTGAATTTTGAATAACTATGGGGCAATTCAAAAAATATTAAGATCTTTTGGGAGGAATCTAGAATTAAGAAAAATTTAGAGGTGAAAACAGAATTTAGAGAAGTTTAGGGAAAAAAGGAAGAAATCAGAAAGTAGAGGGAGAGAAAAGAGAGGTCCCGGGAGAGAGAAGAATAGAATTTGAGAGAGAGAGAGAGAGATAAAAGAAGAAATAATTTGCTATTTTATTCCAAAAGTTATATATCTTGTGATTAATTTACAACTATTATTTATATACATAAAAGAGTATTTGAGAATCCCAATCAATCATTGTAACTATTTAGGTATATGAGAATTCTTATCAACCATTACAACTATTTAGATAAATGAAAATTCTTTTTAACTATTCATGATTTTCTAGGATCTAAACACCCTCCTCATTGAAGCTTTTGTTGATATTATATTTGTGCCTTTTCAGAGAACTATGCATCTAAATTTGGGAGACACAAGACATGAATATTTGCAACTGTTTACAGTATACATATATTCAAACGTTTTAATCAACAATGTCCAGGAACCATCTGGTCATCCGATATTCTTGGATAATATTAAAAACATAAAACACTAATCATCTGTTTGTCTGTCTGAAAATAGCATCCATATCTTATCAACTGTGTTCAAGAATCATTTATTGATTAGACACCACGGGACTCATTGAATGGATACTCTCGTGATTTATATCATCTGGCACATTGGAAAACCTTAAAATCAACCTTTGTTCATTTAGTTGGAAGGCCTTATTAAGTGCAGCAACATCTATATATTTACAGTACATACTACCAACAAACAGAGTTACTTAAGTGAGTTTCTAATGTTTACAAACCAAGAAATCGAAAAAAGATAAACAATTTCTAAAACTTAGTGGGTATGAAGCTGCTAATGACATGTCTTTAGAAGGTAAATTTACGATTAATCAAATGGTAATTGATTTATGTATCAAGGAAACAAAGTTTGGAAGTAAACTATTTTGGTTCCGCTCTAATAAGAAAGGTATTGACAGGAAGAAGCTATAGAAATAATTTTGCCTTTGTTTTTTTCTTTTTTGAGGTAATTACCATTTTACTCCATAACTTTGCATTTTGTTATAAATCAGTCATTTTGTTTATTACGGTACTGTCCAAATATTGAGACAGCTCCTATTCCAAGCTATTTTAGTCCTTTTTTTTTTTATCACGATGAGATCACAAGAAGACAAAATGATTAATATGAAAATTTTCTCTCATATTTGTAAGAACTGATCGTAAGAAGAGGAATTTTTAGCATTTCAGAGAAAAAAAAGGAGGGAAAGTTTTAGTTTTAGTTTGTAAAAAGAGCTATATCTAAGACTCAAATGATACTAACAATTTTTTTTTGTCCATGTGGTTACTGACATTTTGTCTTTTTCTTTTTTGTTTTGTTTGGTTTCATGGTCAGTACGTTCTGAAAATTGGAGATGGAGTTGCAGCACAATGCATCAGTGGATTTGCTGCCTTAGATATTCCTCCACCTCGTGGACCTTTGTGGTATGTTCTTTGTGTTGCTCGTAATTATTCCAGGTGTTAATCTTCTCATTGTTAGGGCTGAAAAAAAACATTTTTAATACACTCCTTCAACGTGCCACACCCATCTTCTCGTTGAAGCACAGGTAATTGGTGACAGAATCAAACAGAAAATGAATTCCAAGAGAGTACTTCACTAAAGTAGATGCTGCATTATGATTTGAGAAATTATTTTGCATAATGGATAGATGCATATTTGATGTCACATTTTTATTAATAATTTAATAGAAATCTTAGTTAACCAATAAAATTAACGGAGCAATTATTAAGTTATTAATAGAAATGTGATACATATCAGCCTCTAACTATTGGATAAGATAATCTTCTCTATGAATCTTACATCAGTTGAATGCTTTGAAAATTTTCTATCTTTCCTTCTCTCTTTACAAAGAAATGTCAAAATAAACAAAAAATTAAATGTTAGCTGTGGTAGGGTGAACCTATTTCTTGTTCAGTACTTTGTTTCACTTGCTGGAGTTTTAGAAAGCAAAAGAGTGCCACAATATTAAAATCTCAGATTGGGTATTTTTCCGATGTTTGGCACTAAGGTGCTTCATTTGGGAAATACCACGATAATATCATACTCTGTAATGTTACTCCTATATTGCAGGATCTTAGGAGATGTTTTCATGGGTCGCTATCACACAGTGTTCGACTACGGAAACTTGAGGGTTGGATTTGCTGAAGCAGCTTAACGGGAATTCATCTTATTATACACTCAAACATACCACTTTCATTTCATGTAAAAGGATGTAAGAGACACTATGCATAAATTTCGTAAAAACTTAAACTTAGCAATGCAGTGCAACTTGCAGCACAGACCAGTATGTATGTATTTGTAAATATTGACAGCAGGAGATATAAGATATGGATGGACTGGTTATAATAGGCTCTGGCAGTGTGGTGAGGACTTCAAAAAGCTCCATATAAATTCTCTTGCAAATTAACAATGCAGTGAAACTTGCAGCAGAGACCAGTACGTATGTATTTGTAAATATTGACAGCAGGTGATATCTTTTAAGTGGCGAACTTTTCTGAGGACGAAGTTATCAATGATGAACTGCTTATAATAATAGGCTCTGGCATTATGTGTGGTGAGGACTTCAAAAGCTCCATATCAATTCCCTTACAACTTTGCCATAATTAAGATGTTCCTGCTTGTCTGCCGTTAATAATTATATGTCATTTCTACACTACTATAATACATGTTAATAAAGCATATAGAATGTACAACCTATAATTCGAATGGGTACTTTTATATAAAAGGAAGAATATGGTTAAGATCCGACTAAGGAATTGTTGGTGTTTTGCTCATAATATATAAAATATGGTGTCTTTATTTTTGCAAATCTAGTCCAATCAAGTAAGGATGAAATTGGGTTTTTTTTTTTTTTTTTTTTATTTCTAACAAAAAAGTATAATTATATTAATAATCAACATGCGTCTCACATGTTGATTTAATAAAATGTTAAAAGTTTCGAAATAATTAATTATTTAATTCGAGTATTTCAGACGAATAAAATTTATGTATTGAGAGATTCATTCCTTTTTCTCTCACGAACTGACTACAATGAAGATGTTCACGTTTGTTTAGCCCGTAGTTCATTTACCTGCAATTTTAAAATACAAAACTTAATTAATTCACAGAAAAGAAAAAACCATACTATTTAGAAACGGAAAGTATATTATTTTATAATTAAATCACTCGACTGAATCAACATCAAGGTCACGTGCTTTCATTTCAAGATGTTGTGAATGCCATGACCTGAGGCTGACGTCATAAATTGATATTATTATTTTTTATTAAAAAAATATTTAGTTTGGTTGAGTTCTAGAAGGGGTATAAAAAAAATGGATATTCTAAGAAGAGACCACGTGTTCCTTTTGATTTGCACCAAACAAATAATTAATTAATTAATTAATAAAAAGAAAAAATGAAAACCCAACAGAAAAGAATTTTATACAAGGGAGCCTCAAATCGAAGCAAACACGTCTTCTATTCATATTTGTGTCGGCTAACCGACTTTCCCATGCCTAACACTCGTTCTACTTTCAACCAAAGTTTTAGCCGACCGTCACAATAACCACCTTACTTTTGCTCCCTTTCCTCTTTTTTTCTTTCAATAAATAAACTCTACCTATAATTTATCAAACATAATATCACAATATTCAAAGATTTAAATCTTACTTCATGACCCATTTGAATCGGATTGCGTAATGACCAACATTCGCAATAATATTTATATATACATATATATATATATATTATGCTTTAACATTGCCCATCTGCATTACCATCTTGTTTTTACAAGTTAATTGTTGCTAGGAGTTAATTGAGCATAGGTTAATTAGCTTAACTTAATAAGCACTTTTCTATCCACTATAGTGCTTTTGACTTTTTCCAAAAAACTTTTGATGATTTTTGCATGCAAAGTTAAAAAGTATATATTATTGCTTAGAAAATTTGCTTTGATCCACCAAATTGACAATCATCTTTCACATAATTATCGAATTGCACGGGAGCCTTTGAATTGACACCCGATAAGTACATAAGGAAAGTAATTGATATTTAGTTTATTTAAATAATATTTTAATTGCAAAAATTATCTAATTATTTTATCATCAATATAAAACTAATCCTTAATATACCCTTACATTGAGTGGATTTATTTGACACATTACTGAAGATATATATGAATGTATATATGTGTGTATGTAAGTAAGGAAGTATAGAATATAAAAATGTTGGTTAACTTGACTTATAATGTAAACACTAGTAGATAATTAAATGAATATAATATAACATGGACCCCAATGTACCTTCTGAATCAAAATAATATAATTTAAAATTAAGTGAAAACTTTTTATTTATTTTTAAAATATAATATCCGGAATCATTGGTGAATGAGCGGTCCACGTCATTCGAGTGGGCCCGATAGGTCCTCCCAAATATTTGCAAAAAACCTCACTTGTACTAAACGCTCGTATGACGTTGAGCCGTTGGGCCATTCAATGCTGCTCTGGCATGGCATCTACATACGCTCGTGTGGGCCCACATCACTTCATTTATTTCCATTAAATACCCAAACTACTTTTTTAAAAAAAATTATTGGTTGTTAAAATTAATTAATGAATTAATTAGTTCGTGCTTTCTTTTTATTTATATTGAAATTTCAGAAAATTAATATTTTTAATATATATGATAATTGTGTGCGAAAAATATCTTTCAATATTCTAATAAACTAATAGTTAAAATAAAAAGAAAAAGAACACGTTGAATATTATATTGTATAATAACAAAGAGGAGCATAAAACACGTGAGTTGCTTAATATTGAAGCCTGATTATGATTAGCTAAGCCTATGTATACACATATATATATATATATATATCTTATAAGCCACGCATAAAATTTTGTCCTTATTAATTTAACAAAATTAAGTTTTTCAACCTAATTAGTTAAGGAAAGTATTAATTAAATAATTAAGGATAATTACATAATGTTGACGCAAATACACTTGACGGAATTAGGAGGGATTATTATTATTATTATTTTTTAATATTTCTAATTTTCAACTTGTCGTAATTAATTCATTTGTGGATCAATTAGTGACAACCTCTTTAGCTTTGACAACTCTCTTGGTAACTAATTTCTTCCTTGCACATTATTAATTTCTCCGAATAGATAAATCATGTTTAATTTTGTTTTAACAAGTATAATTAATTTATAAAACTTAAATAATAAAATGTAAAATTTTTATAATTTTTTTATACAAAAATTACTGTTACATTTTTTATTATTTGATTATAAATTCAATACATAATAATTAAACCGTATATTTTTAATCTAGTAATTATGATTAAATTTATCTATCACTCGATTTTTTGGTCAAAGTATAAATTCAATTCTTACTTAAACATAAAAATAACACATGTTACTAAAAAAAAATTTATAGAACTTCTCTCTCTAAAAAAAAAAATATATATATATATATATATATCCAATACCAGATGATGACTTGTATCTTAACGATGGGTATTTTTCAAAAAAACAGTAACACGCAACAGGAGACCACGTGTCAAGAACGACAATTTTAAGCTGCTATGGTTTGCTTGAACTACAGTATATACGTACACATATGTAATTATATGCTATTTGCCACGTGTGACTTGCTAGTAGAATTGAATTAAAATTTAAAAGTAATAATCGATTTAATTATTTTTATAACACGTGTCCTAACTTGGTGTATGTCATCATCATCTTTTTCTTTTTCCTGTTGCCACAGCATGTATGTACATTATATATTTATATCTTTAGATAGACAATTGGGTGGTCGTGTAAGTATTAACAAATTATTTGGGTAAGTATGATTTCGAGAGGGTATCACGTAGAGATTATATTGCTTTGCTTGGCAGGCACAAATACTTTAATTAACTGCACTAATCTTAATTAACAAAGACAATGATTGGGGATCAAATACTACCAAGAACACGACTTGGTATATATGGATAATTAATTATATATATATACACACACTATTGACCTCTTAAATATTAGTAGCTACATCCCACAAGATTCAATTATCAAATGGATAAGACTGTTTTACAGAAATTTAAATTTACAAACATGAGATCGGAATTTTTATTTATATAAATTTATGATATTAAGTATATATTAGTAAATAATCAAATTATTTATTTATTTATTTATTTTTTAAAAGGAAAAGTGATTCGAGCTTTTTTTGGTAAAAGGAAAATTATGACGAACCCAGTGGAGGTGGTTTGTTTGAAGTCCCAGCTCAATTCAGTCACGTATACTTGGTACCCATCATAAAAAAAATGATACAAGAGAGAAACGTCTATCCATGGTAGCACAACATGCATGCATGTGTCTTATCATGAATTACCAACGTGGCCTATTAGGGTTAATTAAATATCTTCCATACCCATCTCAAATATCTATCCGTGTTTCTAATTAGAATATCTATTCATTTTAAAACCTGATAATAATTAATTATTTATATATCTACTCATTACCCAACTGATGGGTAAATTTATATAGAGAAGTAGTTACTGCAGCGTTCCATAAATTTTTTATTTTTTATTTTTTATATCTCATAATACATAAAATTTCCAATTGTGTAATTTCTTTATTAAAAAAATGTATAAATTTAATTTAGTTGATTATTATTATTATTTTTAAATATATATATATATATATATGGAAAAACAGGAAATTCAGTAATTTTGCACGCAATTCAAAGCAAATCGATCCTAGAATTTGACATTTGACAAAACATCTATCTTCCCCATTTATCCACTTTCATATCCGTAGACTTTTTAATCTATAAGACCCGCACAGTTGACAGAATATACTTACCCACAATATCAATATTCAACTCCCTACCACCACCACCACCACCACCACCACCCCAATCATAATATTAATAAATGACTCCAAAAAATTCAACCAATTTTTTTTTTTTTTTTTTGGGGTTGTTCAACTCATCTTCCCCCTCCATATCTCTTCCGTTAAATTAAAATTGGGTTCGTAATATAAAAATTAAGTCTATTAGTTTAGTTTCAGAGTCTACCCATATGAAAATTTGACCCCAGAAAAAAAAAAAAAAAAAAGATAGATCGTCCAAAATTGTGGATTATCTATCCAATCTACCCGGTCTAATCTCTATCCAAATTCCTTTTTGTACCAAACCCAAGTCATAAAAAATTGCAAAAAATAATATATTCTCAAAGTTTTGTTCGTTTGTACACTACTTTTTCATGGGGATTTCTGGTTCTTCTTCCTACCCTTTTCACACGTGCCATTATGCCAGACCTTCTCCCCTAGTTGGCTACCAGAGCTTGTCTGTCAATGGTGTCAACTCCACTCATAGTTTGACACGTTGTGGACTCACGTTAAAGGATGCGTCAACTCCCTAGAAGGCGCGCCAACTCACTCACAACATAATATTAACTCACCAATCATGCCCAGACTTGCCTTTCAAATATCCCACCTTTCGTTCTTTATTACACCCCCTACCCACCTATATATATAAATATATATGTGTGTGTGTAAATACAAGCCTTTCTCTGTAATAACCTCCATTCATAAAAACAGAGCACTCTGTTTCTTTTCTTTTCCTTTTCGTCTCAACACACTACAATGGACTGGACTAGAGGCCACACCATAGGCCATGGCTCGTCAGCCACAGTTTCCCTCGCCACCTCTCGTATTTCCGGGGACGTTTTTGCCGTGAAGTCGTCGGAGCTTTCCCATTCTGGATTGTTACAAAGGGAGCAGAAGATTCTATCGTCCTTGAGTTCTCCTCAAGTGGTTTGCTACCGAGGGTGTGATATTACGCGGGAGCACAACAAGCTCATATATAATCTTTTCATGGAGTACGTACCCGGCGGCTCTCTCGCCGACGCGGTTCGGGTCAATGGGGGCGGGCTCGACGAGTCGACGATCGCGCAGTACACGCGACAGATTCTGCAAGGCCTTGAGTACCTTCACTCGAGTGGATTAGCGCATTGCGATATTAAGGGTAGTAACATTTTGATCGGAAAAACTGGTGCGAAGATTGCCGATTTCGGTTGCGGGAAGAGGGAGTCTGAAGCGAGGCCGATCGGTGGGACGCCGGCGTTCATGGCGCCCGAGGTGGCGCGTGGGGAAGACCAGGGGATTGCTAGTGATATATGGTCACTTGGGTGTACGGTTATAGAAATGGCGAGGGGTGGTTCGCCGTGGGGGAATGGGTCCGACCCGGTTTCGGTCATGTATCGGGTTGCGTATTCGGGTGAGGCACCGGAGGTGCCATGTTTTTTATCGGAGGAAGCAAAGGATTTCTTGAGGAACTGCCTAAAGAGAGATCAGGGGGAAAGGTGGACGGCTAGTCAGCTGCTGAAGCATCCATTTGTTAACCAATTAAAAATTGAAGAATCGAATTCAACTTCATCTTCTCCAACAAGTGTTCTTGATCAAGGGTTTTGGGACTGGGTGGAGGAATCAGAAGAAAGCGTGGAAAATGCTGTTGGGTCGGTGAGCCATTCTGGGTCACCAGTGGAGAGGATCAGACGGCTGGGATCGAGTGATGGGGAGGGACCCAATTGGGAGTGGGGGAAGGAGAAGTGGATCACAATCAGGGAGAATAAGGAGATTGAGGAGGAAGGGAAAGATGAAATGGTTAGTGGGTCAGGAGGAGAGATTAGTGAGAGTGTAGAAAAGGAGGAAAGCAATGTGGGTAATGCTGATGATTGTGGTATTAATTGGGAATTTTGGGGAAGCTTTAAATTTAATTGTAGAAAGCATAGACACCCAGAAGATGTGCTGTTATATTCTTTATCATCCCGTTTACATGTATAAATTCAAGTTTCCTTCTTTTTGTAAATAGCATTTCGAAGTTATCTCATTTTTGAGGTCTTAAGGTCCGGTCCAGTTGAATTCATTTAACGTGAGATAAATTCAAGTAAAAAAAAAACAAAACTAGAAATATCTTGAAGGGAATTGATTCATCTTGAAACAAAGAGAGCATAGAATGCTAAGATAAGATCCACGAGAGAGAGGCAGGCATTGAAGAAAGATAATGTATCTTAATACTAAGAAGAGCCCTTAACCTAAAGGGAATTTGGGGATTTACATTTTGGGTCTTTTTTCTTTTTAAATATTTTAAAAAAGGTTGTTTAAGTTGGTTAGTTGATATGGTTAGTCGAGAAAGTGGCAAGTGGAAGTGGGTGAGAGAGTGGGTGTTATGTGGGTGTGAAGTGACCAAGAGAATTTTTTGAGTTGAACAACAAATTGCTCAAAACTGCTGGTGATAAGTTAGGTGAGGGTAAGCTTCTTCTTTTTTGAGAATAGATTTCAAAATCCAACTAAATTCACTACTTGAAATTTACGGTACAAAACACAGTTAGAAGATTTATGACTTTTTACTTATGATTTTGAGAGTAAACATTTTGAAAGAAGAAGGGAGGGGGGGGGGGGGAAATTCAAGAGATTTTTATATGGTTGAGGGAATTCGTTTGAAGAGAGGAGTGGGAAGCTGGATGGCACTTGGCGAATCATATACCCACGACTTGGCCTCTTAACTTATTAAATGCAACTACTGCAATCCATCAATCAATCACCCAAACAACTTTTGTGTGTTATGAGGTGGAGAAGCTCAACTGTCTTAACATTTGTTGCTATAGTTTTCCCCCACCTGGCCGGGCAAGAAACTTCTACTACTTACCTTCTTCTTCTTTAGAAAATGAAGACAAAAACTATTTTTTCAATCGAGTACTTGTTTTTCGTATAACGCAGAATAAATTATTTCAACAATTTATGGGTTACTATTTAATTAAAAATTTATAATTTGTTAAAAGTATATTTGATGTAATTTCTTTCAAAAACGGATTTGATATGATTAATTAAATAAAGTTGATTATATTGAGATCTATAAACTCAGATTTCAGTGTAAATTTAAATGTAGGACAATAATAAACTGGAGTGATAAAAAGATACTATATAAGAAATAATTTAATAATAAATTTGAGAAAAAATACTGCTTAAATGATATTTTATTTAAATACGAGTATTTTATAAATATCACAGATTCATATAATCATTTCACTTCAGTTCGTGGTTGCAAGTTTTTTAAAATAATTAGTTATTTGATAATGTTGTTAATACTAACATATCTTTTAATTTAAAACCCAACCCAATTATTTTACAAAGTCCAAAATGGGTTGGGTTGGGTTTTAAACATAAACACAAGTTTAGTTACAACCCAATCTATTTTAGATCTAAAACCCAGCCCATTTTTAACTCAAGGCCTAGTTTATTTTAAACCCAAAAATACACAACTTATCTCATCCTTAAAACCCACTATATAATGTCTTAAAACCCAACCACTTTCTAACAAACGCAAGTTTAATTCAAACCCATAAATACCGAACTCGTCTTGCCAGCCAACCCATTTTTAACTTCAACCCAATTAATTTAAGAAAGTCTAAACCCAATCGATTGTGAACTCAAACCCAAGTTCAATTAAAACCCTCAAATACCAAACTCGTCTTGCCCGTAAACCCAATATTTTAATTCAACCCCAACTATTTTAGAAAGTCTAAAACCCAAGTTTAATTAAAACCCAGAAATACCCAACTCATCTTGCCCTTAAACCCAATCTATTTTAGAAAATCTAAAACCCAACCCATTTTAAACTAAAACCCAAGTTTAATTAAACCCCGACTAATCTTTTAATTAAACCCAATCTATCCTGGGAAGGCTAAAACCTAATCTATTTTTAACTCAAACCCAAGTTTACTTCAAACCCACAAATTCCCAACTCATCTTGCTCTCAAAACCCAATCTATTTTAAAAAGTCTAAAATATTGGGTTTGATCTAAAACCAAACCCATTTTAGACAAATCCCAGTTTAATTGAAACCCAGAATACCAATACATCCTAGAAAGTTTAAAACCCGAGCCACTTTGAACTCCGGGCCCGAGACCCGCACTGAGACCCGCCCGAGACCCGCACAGAGACTCTGGCCCAAGACCCGGGACAATACCAGAGACCAAGACCCCCGGAACCAAGACCGGGACCAAGACCCCCGGAACCGGGCCCAATATCACTGACCCGGACCCAAGAATCGGGCCCGAGACCGCACGAGACCGCCGGGCCCAAGACCCGGGACAGCCCATTCGTGCAACGGCTCGTTTTGGGTGGCTTTAAGTCTTCCTTCTTGCTTTGATGAACAGAGAAACGAATCATCTTCTTGTTGTCTCTGGGGTAAAAAAGCGCAAAGAGAAACGAGAAAGAAAAACTTGAGGGAACAGCAGATCTTGGGGCAGACAGACGCGTGGGCCTACTAATAAAGGGAAAAAGAACAAAGCACGACGAAAAGAAGGAAAACTCGAAACTTGAAAGAACGAGGTAGAAAAGCTGATTGAGTTTCGGCTATGAAAGGCGAGACCTAAGACAGAGGGGAAGGTTGTTGGTTTTTGGGTTTCTAGAGAGAGGGTCTCCGAGGCTGGGAGCGTTAGGGTGAGAAAAGAAAATCCATAAGAGAGCAGAAACGGCAAGAGCGATCAGGAAGAATAAGGAGAGACTTGGGGCAGGGATTTCAGAAGCAAGAAGACGACTTTGAAAGTGGCGGTTAGGGTTCGAAGGAGAGATTGGAGGAGAACTTAGCCGAGGCTTACTCGAATACCTTCATTCGTTCATCTTTTTGTGTAATTTCAGTATATTTCAGTCGAGTTTATTTTCTTTCTGAGTAGCCTTATACCGATTTCTTGGAAATTAGTTGAGTTTGTCTGAAACGCAACATTCTTTATATCATTTGAGAAGGAAAGAAAAAAATATATATCAGAAGCACAAAGGGTCTGCAACCAGAATATAAAGAAATAGATATTTTATATTTCTTGAAATCTTTTTCTTTTTCAATTTCTGAATTCCCATTCACTTAGAAAAAATTTCCCAATCAAAAAATGTTACTGTACTTGCATACAAGTAGATACAGTTGGATTCCCTTATTTTTATTTTGTTTAGTTTGCTCGTTACCCATTTGGTTGTAAAAATTTTTAATTTTCAATTTCATTTGTAGGTAGAGATCAGATGGCCCTACAAGAAAAATTAGATCGATTTAAGAAACAGCAAGAAAAATGCCAATCGACTCTCACCAGCATTGCGGCCAAAGCGGGATCATCAAAACCTTCATCTCAAAAACCCATACCTATGGCAGCATCACCTGCTGCCAATTTAAAGCCTCCAGTGCCTGCAGTCAAGTTTTCTAATGATACAGAGAGACTTCAACAGATCAACAGCATTAGGAAAGCTCCTGTCGGTGCTCAGATTAAGCGTGTCATAGACCTTTTACTAGAGGTTTGGATTCTCCTTTCCTCCCCTCTTTTTCCATTTAATTTGAATATTAGAAGTTATCAATTACTGAATTTGAGTATCTTTTTCTTATTTCAAGTTATGGAGTTTTCTATTAGAAAAAAGATATGTGGAGTTAGTGATACTGGATTCTTTCAGTCAATAAAATCGTTGACTGCTGCTAAGATCTTTGACTGCTAAGAATCAGTGACTTGTAGGACTTTATCTTTCATGAATGACAGTCATGTACCTAAAGTAAAACTTCTGGTTAGGAGCCAGACATAG